AAACTAAAAAAAAAAGGAAAAATAATGTGGGTAGGGCACCCAGGCTGTGTCCAAACACACACACTGTGATGGAATTCCTGCTGGCTTAGAAGGTGGGTGGGAGTGAGGGATGGCTGCACCTCCATTCACCAAGAGGGTGTGTGGGGTATAAGAGTAACAAGGGGTATATCACACCTTTCTGGTGACTGATGTCCGGAATGTCCTTGTGGTTCCTGGCAAGTGGAGCCTAATCTTAACTCCCTGGAACATGGGAGAACGCTGTTGCTTTAAATATCCAAAATGGTCGAACCACTTGTAAACTTTCAAAATGGCTGCATCCTCTGGACAGGCAAAAGTTCACAGCTCAGCCTGCCTTCCTCTTTGCTGCTTCCTCTTTTATTCACCAGCTACCAGTGCAGTCCTCCGTGCAGTCTCTGGCTAGCAGAGCTGATTTTTAGGTTAATTCTTAGGTCCTAACACCACTCGGCAATATCCTAACTGTACCGTCAGGATCTCTGCCAGACTGCCGCTCCATATGTCTCCTTTTTTGGTGTTTTCATGCAAATTCTTCTACTGGTTGGAGTTTAGTCCACTTCTGTATCTGTCCCTTCAAAGCTTAGGTCTCTAGCATTATCTTCTGTATCCCTGTTGATTGGTTCCCCTTTTCTTTGTTGAAGAGGTTCAGTGCAGTCTTTCTGCCTATTACCCTATCTTACTGGCAATCCTCTAGGATATACTGTTTTAATGGAGAAGTACTAGAACACTTTAATCCTCATACCCTAAGCTAGCCAGTTTATGTTCTAAGGGCTATTCTTAGATTGAGTCTTTATAAAGATTTGTTACTATTTAGGTTCTTTTCCATTGTTCAAGTGTCTGTTTAATTTGAGGTTTGAAAAGGACCAGTTTGAATGAAAGGAAAATAAATAATGGATGATTAAGGAAAGTAATTTCTGGCATGGTCTCATAATTAAATTAAATGCCTTTGTACTGTCTTGGGCGTAATTTTTTGCATTTAACCTGCGTGGTCTGAAATTGATTCTGGATCTGAAATTTCCAGTTTGTTGTACAAATCTTCACATTTTTCCAGAGAGGCTTAAGGAATGATAGTGTGTAGGTAGTTAGAGGCTTGAGGGACTCTGTAGGTGCTTGGATTAATTTCTAGTTCTGTCATTTTATGACTGTTGTGATTTCATATCTTATTTGCCCTGGAAGAGCAATAAGGTTACTGAGGCACCCGACCCACCAAAAATAGACATATTTAAATATTCTGCTTCATGATTCTTCCATGAATTTGGTGCATGGTTTAAGTTTTAAACATTTTTGTATTGGTAAAACTTTCAAACATCTTTATGGAGAGATACCAATATTGTGGTTGTGCCGTTGGAATTTATGATCATGCTTGATTTGATATAAAAATATGGAAATGTAATTATTATTATTTTAAAATATTTTACTTACATGACAGTTTTTTCATACTGTCTTCTAACATTGTTATTGCTGTGTATTTCTTATTTACTAGAGTAAAACTTATAAAGGATAGTACTCGTATTTCCTTTAATCCTCTCAAATGCTTTATATATCATTGGTGTTCAGTATATATTTGTTTAATTAATGGGTAGGTGAATTGGGGGAAGATCTGTTCCGCAAAAGCCAAAAGCAACCCTCAGGACTAAAGTGGGTGAAACAGACTTTGTTAGGTTTATCTCCTCTTCCTTCTTCTGTACTTTAGACTGTGCTTCTATTCATTGACCCTTGATTGCTATATATATATATATATATATATATAT